CTAATGGTTATATGAAGAGAGCATCATATCATATTCCCATGATTGCTTAAAGCAAACTGCAGCAGCTTTAGCTGCAGCACAATTTTCATTAAATCACGCAGCTGCACTGTCCTGCCTTGCAATTGTCAATCCCACTTTGTTTTTTTCATGGACTCTTATTCTAAAATTAAAATGTCTTGCAATTCCTTTTGCATTTATTACAGTAATTTTATAACTGGGTCAAAAGAATACTTTACTTGAGCAGCTCAGTTAGCTCTAAATTAGCAGTGTCACACTGAGATCTAGCTGGTGAGGTGGGTAAGAGTTCCCCTTCTGCACAAGGGTGCCTGTGAAAGGAAAACAATTAATGGATGGATTCATTAATTAATCAATGGCTGGCAGTGGTTTATTTATGAAGCCACCTTACAAAGCGGAGAGCAAGCTGTAAATCTGCATCATGGCATCTTTTCCTCCATGACTATGAGAGAAGTAAGATGAAAGCTAAACCAGGGTGTTTTGTTGTGGCACATTTGTGGAAAAGAGGTGCATCTCATAACATTTCTGACTTTACCTACTCAGGGTGGTGTCTGTTGGATTCAGTGAACAGCAGGGAGCATTGATTTAACTGATTAAAGCCAGTTTGGCTTTTCCTCCCTTCATCCAGGCCAGAAAACTGAGGCTGATACTGTTTGCTGTTGTCAGTATGAGCCTACAGGGGTACATTCATGGCAGGCCCAAGGGAAAAGGAGCCACTCCTGAGCTCTCGTTTTACAGCAGCCATCACCCATGGCTTATACACTGGAGTAAAGCTTAATGTAGTTCCAGATTGAAAGAAATTACACCAAAAACCTTTTATTCTAGAAACGTTTTTAATTTCACTTGCATATTTTAACAGAAATACAGTATGCTAGCAGCAAAACAAGATTTCTGTTTTAACATTTCACAATACATTAGTGTCCAAATTTCCATTTTTCTATTAAGGCAGTTTGCATTAATTAGAAATCAACTCTGAATACTATGACAGTATTTTCAAATACATACAAGCCACCATAAAATAACTATTAGTATTATTACCATGGGAAAAAAAGCCCACAGTACTAGTAAAATGTAAGCATTTGAAGGTAATGCCTTTAAAACCACAGAAAGTACCGTCTACCATTCCAAAACCAAGTGAACAGCTGAAGACATTATGTAAATATAAAAAGTTAATAAGTTAAGGCTTTGTTCAGTCAATATTTCAGAAGTTCATGTTCTGTGAAATTTATATTCAAGTTTGAACTAGCAATTAATTTCAAGTTTTACTTCCTAAAAGAATAGTTCAGGCTGACTTCTGTCTCCCCCACTTCAAGACTGCATCCAATCACTCAGTTCTGGTTTTAAGCAGCATTAATTAATCCCAGCAGAGAACAAGCAGGTACAGTTTCCAGAGCAGGCCTGACACATTCCTCAGAGAAGTCTCTAATCCCACGTGTGGTTCAGCAGGTGCCACCAACGTCCTCCCTGTGCTGCACTGGCTCATTGGAGCCATTGACCCTGGCAGAAGTGTTTCTCAATGGACTTCCCAGCCAGGTGACAGCATTCCAACCTGCCTACACAAATGTGAGCACAGGGGAATGGGACACAAGGGCTGGGAGCAGCCACAGGTCCCCCAAGCCTCATCCCAGCAGGAAGCTGCTAAATGACTTCTGGGTTCTGATCCCTGATATTTTGAGCCATGCAATTAAAGCATCCTCATTGAATGCAGCTGCTAAGATGGTGAAACATGACATTCTCCTCTGCTGCCTGGGAGCAGCAGCTCCTCCAGGGGCACTGGCTTTATTGGATAGCTGAGCTCTGTTTCCTGGGAGCCTGCAGGTTTGAGTGGTTAAACCAACTTGCTTCACAGAAGATGTAAAGGCACTAATGGCAATACAGAACGGGGCAGGGGAAAGAAAGGCAAAGTAGCAATAAATACTAAAACCTGAATCAACTCTTTCTTCATAACAGGGATTATGTAGTTCTGAAGCAGACAAACAGAATAATGAATGGCCTTGTTTGCTTAGTGGTGATCACTGCAATATCATGAACTGGCTCACATGAGTCTAATTTAAAGATAGATAGAAAACATCAACACAGCTTCATGGAGAATAGGGCTTGAGCAAAAGGTTGCATTTTATTCTTACAGATCTTAAGCTTGGCTTGCAAAGACACCTGCACTGAGGTGTTACCCACAAGAACCCTGAGTAACTTTCTGAAAAAAAGATGAACATGTAATTTTCTTTAAAATATCATAATAACAATGTCAAGATACAGTATTAATAGGGATTCAGCAAGAAATTTAGCTGTTTGCCATCTTACTGAAAGTTTTAAAAGCTCTGGGACAAAAGGGACAGAAATTCAATGGCCTGCCTGTTTGCTTTCCCCACCCCCTCCCCATGTCACTGATGTAATAAAAACTTATCACCTCTCTACAAACCTTACCTTGCATTCAATTTTAAAAATCAATGATCTGGAATAAACTGTAAAAATCACTTGCAATAAATTTGCAAAGGACATGCAGACTGCTGGAGTAGTAAAGAATGAGGACAGGTCACTTAGAGCAATCTGGATCACTTCATGAGCAGTATTTTAATGCTGGTAAAATACTATTTGTATTTCCAAGAAAATATAAGGTAAGATAATAAGAGGATGATGTACCACATTCTTGAGAAACACTCTGAAGAGGACTTGGCCCATAACAGTCAGCATCCAAGGCAATGCTTCCACAAAAAAAAGAAAAAGAAAAGATAATACAATTTTTGAGGAAAGAGAGAGGGAGAGATATTCATCAGAGCAAGAGGATCACATTATGGCTCTGTACTGTCCTGATGGATCACTATTGACATGTGGCATCTAATGCAGATGTCACCCTTACAAATACTTCTGTACATGAGAAATCCAGAGAAGAACGTGAAGATTAATTAGTCTTGGATAACATCCACTGCCATAGGAAAGTTAAGGAATTCAGTCTCATCAGAGAAAAGGTTAAAAGGGACATAATCATGATTTATAACTACACACAGGCAATTAGAAAAGCTGATACTACAGAGATCAATATAAGCAATCAAATGCATAAAAAGACCGAAATAACTTAAGGTGGAGCTAGAAATGCAAATAGAAAATCAAGTGAAAAATGTACCTGGGGTAATTAAGTATTGCAACAGGAGCTATGAGTGAATTCTCATCACTTGAAGACTTCAAATTAATATTAAATGCCTTGCTAAAATACGTATGTTCAGTTCAAAACAAAGCCACTGAATTTAACAGAGAAACAGCTTGTTGAAATTCAATGGTCTGTTGAATTTAAAAATAAATCCTCATCATGGTGCTTTCTATCCTTATATATTTATGAGATTTTTTTAAAAAATACAGCTACAAAATTAAAGGGGGTTACCAAGAAAAGGTGTTTTTTTCTTTCTGAGCACAGAAACATTTAAGGCTAGATTTAAAGCTAAATAAACTGCAGCTGCATTTTGGAAAATATTCTTCCCCCACTCCCAATTTTTCCCATTTCTTGTTCAGAGTTGTACAGTCCACTTAGTTGACTGTCTGATTTACATAATCATGTAGTTTTTCTTCAGTTTCTCTGTTCCTATTTATAAGCCATTCACAAACCATCCACTTAAGTAACAGCATGATTTATTGTAAGAATGATTATGGTTGTTTCAGAGGGAAAATGGAACGTGATTAAATAAAGAATGAACAAGGACATTCTAGAACAAAGGGCTCTAATCCTGCAAAAGGATTTGTAAATGAAACCTGCCTCTCAACCCCATCCCAAATGAACTACTGAGGGAATTCAGCAGATACCTTTACAACTGTGGAGCCAAGAGCTTAGCTGAAGACAAAAAATTAAATAAAATAAAACAACCAACCAACCATGCCCACAGTATCTTATGGAGAAATGGTAAAGCTCCCAGGGCCATCCATATTTTGGGAAAAAAAATAATAAATAATGAACTATGTATACAGTTGCTGATATGACCCTCTCAACACAGGTCTGAGCACCAAGTCTCCAGAGGGAGAACTGCAGGCAGACCTTTGCCCTTGGATAAGTTCCAGCATCTGAGACAAACGCATCAGCCAAGGAAATGGCTGGGTATTTAAGCTGTGGATCCAAGAGAACACAGCTTTTTCTCATGCAGTAGATGTTTTGCAGGTGCCACAGGAACCCTAACAACCCATAGTTCCTTACAGAAGTGAAACAGAAGTGAACAGTCTGATGAAAGAATCTCAAAGTTCAGTATCTTCACCTGAAGTGCTTATTCTCTGCTACTGCAGAAGGAACAAGTGGTGGAAAAGCCCTGTTTGCTTACCAGTATCACTGCCTGTTTACAAACCAGCTCCCTAACAGGAACAGCTGAGAGGCTCCACAAAGGAGGAGCTGTGTTACAGACCCACGTTTGCCAGGAAAAACAACTGTAAGATGAGCACATACCCAAGCAACTGCTTTTAAATGCTTGTCTTAGCCCAGAATAAAACAGCAGTGATGGATCATATCCTTGCTCAAAGACAGATAATTCTGGTCCATTCCAATTGCACATGAACCAGCAGGAACTTGGGAAATCCCACACTAAATTGAGAGAACTGCCTCAGAAATTTGTATGGAGTTGCAGAGCCATTCAGAACAGCACAAAAGCTTTTCATACTTGATTACCATATAGGCAGCATTTCCTAAACAGCAAGGGGGAGAGAGGATGCAGCAAGCATGGAGCCCAAGAAAATCAGCTTTGCAAGATCTGTGCTGAATATGTGTGAATTCCCACTTAAGTAGTCTGAGGAGCTGTGGCTGGGCTAAGCTGAGGGACTGGTAGAAGGCACTGCTAACATCCCTGCTGTGGGGACAGCTGAGGTTACCCTGAACACTGGTTTTTTTGAGAGGAAAGTACTGAACTATTGTTTTCAGAAATAGCACCGTTACTCCAGACAGATAAACACCCCCCATTCTAGTGCAATTATTTAGATAAGAGCACTAATGAATACAGCTGAGACTGCAGCTAGCAGTAGTGCCCTGGCTCACAGGAAACACTTGAGCTAAATGCTAAAATCTACTTTTAATGAAGGGTATTAGGAGAAGGCTGGAAAACTTTAAATTCCAAAGACTCCTCTAAGCTAAATATGATGCCTATGGATGCAACCAGGACCTGGGGTCCAGTATTTCTGTGATGCCTTTATGTCTAGGGGTTGGGACTGGTTTGGTTTCAGACTTGGTCTTGCTCAGCAGAGAAACAGGATTCCCCAGGCCAGCTAAACCACTTTTCCCACAAAGACCAATTTTGCGAGGAGGAGCAATGGGGGTTTGCAGCTGCTGCATTTTCGTAGCTAACACCGACTCAAAGGAAGAGCTACAGGCAGGTGTGTGGTCAGGCTTCCTCCAGTTTTCCTTGCCCAGCTGCTCTGTGTTCACCTGGGCTTCTGCACTGTAGGGTGGCTTATCAGAGGGCGGAGGTGGAGCTCTTCTTTTCTTTCCTCTGCTGTCATTAGGACTGGTAGTATCTCTTCTTGGGTCCAGATGCACGTTTTTCTGAACAGTCATCTCATGAGATCCATCAAAGAGTGATGCCCACAGGGCAGATGCAGGCTCTTTCTGCTGGCCAAGAAGGAACTCACCATCACTCTCTTCAATTTTCCTGTGTATGATATCAGCTAAGCCCTCAGGTTTCACTGGAGAATCAATGCCTGTAATTTTAAGGGACAGCAATTAACCCAGATTAAAACACCACCAATGACTTTACTTCTATCTATTTTCTTATTACTACTCCGAATACAAACCTGTATTAACTATTTCACTAAGTCTGAACTAAGAGTATTAATGGATAAAATGGAAAAGATTACATATGCTATCCAAGAGGGAACTGAGGTGACAGGAGGGAATTATTTTTGTGACAGCTGGCATTGAGGCAGCAGGGTAGGCACCAATATTTCTTTCCAAGTAAAAGAAAAAATAAAGTACTACAGGGAAACCTGTATGTATTAGTTATTAAATACATTTTGTTGTATAGTGCTTTGAAAATTTTGTTTCACAGGAGGCCCATGAAAGTCTGACTAAATAGTCCTGTGCTGCCAGCTGTAGAAAATAGGACATCTTTACATATATAATTTTTCCCTGTGTGCCTTAGGATTGCCTTGCTCCATTTCTTATTCTTCTTACTGAGTTTTCCATGTATACTGCAGTAGTACCAGCCTCAAACAGCAGCAGTACCTGATTTTCAGTAGAATCACAGAACAGTGTAGGTTGGAAAAGGCCTTTAAAGGTCACCAAGTCCAACTGTTAACCCTGCCAAGTCCACCACCAACCCATGTCCCTAAGCACCACATCTGCACATCTGTCTTTCAAATATCTCCAAAATGGTGTCCCCACCACTGCAGCCTGTGCCTCTGCTTGGTAATCCTTTCTGTGAAGAAATTCCTAACATCCAATCTAAACCTCCCCTGGGGCAACTGGAGGTGGCTTCCTCTTATCCTATCACTCCTTACTTGAGAAAAGGGACTGAATCCCCCCTGGCTACAGTCTCCTTCCAGGTATTGGAGAGAACCATAAGGTCCCCTCGAGCCTCCTTTTCTTCAGGCTGAACACTCCCAGCTCCCTCAGGCACCCCTCATCTCCTGTGTGCTCCAGACCCTTTCCCAGCCCCATTGCCCTTCTCTGGACACACTCCAGCCCCTCAGTGTCTTTCTTGTAGTGAGGGGCCCAGAACTGAGCACAGGATTTGAGCTGCCTCACCAGTGCTGGGTACAGGGTGCTACAAATACTATATATAATCCAGGAAAAAATGGTGAAAAAAATGGTGTGTTATGAGTGAAATGGAGTTTGTGTTCTGCTCCTCACTGAGGTACATGTGTATCAGTGGAATTATGCTACTGTGTTACCTTTGTAAAGCTTCTGTGTGGTTCATTTACTGCATTTCTGCTCTGCATTCACAGCTTAGATAAAACCTGACTGTTCAGTGCTCTGATGCATGGTAACTCAGTGACCCACATGGCATTTTGAGCATCATCACAGCTCCATCCCAAGCAGCAAGCAGTCAGGCATTTAGAGTTGTACAGTGTTTCACAGTCAATACTGCATGGGACCCAGTAAAACAAAGTGACCTACTTTTTCTAGTCTGTAAATATTATTTCTGTAACAAAACTATTAAAAAAATCCTGCTGCATACCATTTTTCTCTGCAAAAATACAAGTCCCTGATATGTTCTAGCTAGATTTTCCAAGCATATTTTTCCACATCATTGCCAAAGACCAAAAAATTAGGTAAGTTATGCTAGGTAAGCCTTCAAATAGCTGTAAGAACAGCAGATTAATTTCATGCAATTGGTTTGCAAGCTGGACTATTTTACCTTTACATTTCCTGAGCTGTATACTACTCCTACCATGAGTGTTTATTTCTAGTGACAGCTGTTTTGAGTGTGTTCAGGGGACACTGCAGATTTTTTAGCTCAAGGTATAAAAGGGTATTCATTATTTGCACTGTTACAAATTCAGATTTAATATCAACTCCTTGGTATGCAGTTATGTTGCTCTTTCATTGTCTGAATTGTCCTTGAAAAACTCAGTGTTTCACCACCAACACCAGAAGCCATCTGAATTCAGACAATGTTGTTTCTGTTACTCTGCAACTTGAAAAGGCAAATCCCACTTACTCATATCATGGTAGACGGAGGTCGCTTCCTTTGTCAAGAACAAAGGTGGTTTCCGTGGTGACATAATCTCAATTTTCATAAGTTCCTCACAACAATGCTTCCACTGGCCTGAGAGAGAAAAGAGAACAATGACTGGAACTTAAACACATCAGCCTGGAAAAAAAAATGGAAGTTATTAGGTTGTGTCAGGAAACTATCTCCAAAGTAATACTAAACAGTGACAATTTACTTTTGTTTAGCAAGAATGCTCAGGATTAATTTGTATTTTCACCTCTGTATTCATTCTCTTAGCGCAAAGGTCATAAGATCCTAGCTGGAATTTAAGCATTCCAGCATTACTGTTACACTATGATGGCTAAAGATCATAATTTGCCTTCAAATCCCCAAACAGTATAAATCCAAGGGGGAAAAACATTTAAAAAATTAAGGTTTGGGAAGCTTCATCAAGTTATCAGTAACAGCCTCCAATATCCTGCAAGCCGGATGTTATACAGCAATGTTACAATGTCATGGCAAAGGAACATTCTGTTTTTAATAGAGGATAACTTGCCTTTTATCCCTTAGCAGACAAGAAAACCTCTTTTTCTATTAATAGATTTTGACCTTAAGGAAAACAAGACACAGTAAAATTACTTTGTTCATACCAATCATTCCAAGTTTTCTGAGCACATTAATTTTAAGAGAATTTTAGAACCAGGGAAGAAAAAAGGCATTTAAATGCCAAGTGACCCATTTTTTCTGAATCCAAAGAAAATGTCTCAAAAAATCGGTGGGTAGTATTCTATCTATAATGAATAAGAAGTAGATCTTTTACCCTACTCTACAGATAATTTAAAGAGGATGCCCTAGTTTTTGCTTGGTGTGTTTCTTTAATTGATAGTGCTTTTTCTCATTGTAAATCAAAGTTAGAAATGACTGGAAATACAACTACGACTCTGAGTTTCTACAACCTCAATTCAATTATTTGATTGGTGTTGTCTCTGACTAAAGACTGATATTTCATTAATTGACCTGGTTTTGTTTTCTGACCTGATAAAAATGCCTACCAGGAAGCAACTCTACTTTGTCAATGGCAGCACAATAGCTGACAGTCTCTACTCTCAGTAAATCTATGAGTCAAGCAGAAAGCAGAAAAAAAAGACACAGGCAAATTAATCTCTGTAGTTTTTATAATAAAGATTTGGTGATAAACAAGGAGCACAATATACAACTTCAACAATATTTCACACCAATAAATGAGTTCCCTCTGCCATGTCAGATCAGGGTTGTTCCAGAGGTTTGCCACAGGATCAGGGTAACCCTTTAATGCTGTTCCAAAGGCTGAGGTCCAGGTAAGCAGTGTGTATTTGCCCAGCTGGATGGACCATGCCTGGGTGAGCATATTCCCATGTGATGAGGGCTACCAAAACCTTTGAACTACACAGAATCAAGCAATCCCTGTTATAACAAGTTGTAATTTAATTCATCCATAACACTGCTGAGCAAGGAAACCCCAAGTTTACGTGTGACTGCTTCCAAAAGCTGGCTGAAACCCCATCCTAGCCCAGGCCCCACACGATCCCAGCATCCTCCCCACTTGTCACTAAGGCTTCCATACGAAGGTTTTATGCTTGCAGGATCTCACCAGACCAACAGACCACTGGTTGGGTGCCCAGGCAGAGGTGGACTCCTCCCACTACAGTGGGAAGAGGAAAAGACGGTAAGAATTTATCAGTCTTTAAAAACATTATCAAGAACACTGCTGAGAGAACAAGTTTTTTGAGATTGATGGACATACTCTGCCTCTGATTTCCTGCAAGAACACATGAACTTTGGTTTAGTCAAATATTTGCCTTCCAACGACTTAGACCACCACCCAGTATTATCCCAGAGAATATATTTCTTTTCGTTCCTGCAAACAAAGGCTTATGAGGCAATTGCAATTCAAATTGCTCCAAGATCCCTTTGATGTTACATAATGCCCATTGGGAGGGCACGCTGCCAGCACTGCCTGCTTACTTACTCAGATCATAAAAGTGCTGCCAGAAAGCCTCCATCCACTGATGAAGCTCTTCCCTACTGTCAGTAGCAAAACGTTGGGTCACACCCTCTCCAGACACGGGGTTGATAACAGAGAAGTTATTGGCTCTTCTCCTGGAGTCCTTATCCACAGCTCGAATCCTGGTTTCCTAGGAACAACAAACTGTGCTAATGACTTATTGCTTCACACTGCCATCAACTTAGGGCCAATGACAGCGTAAGGAAGGTAGAATTTGCCTTTTTGTCTACTTCAGATTAATGCCCAATTGAAAAAAAAGAACCAATGTCAGGAACTGATTATAAAATTGTTTTATCATAAAACTGTTAAAATGGCATAAAACATGAAAAATAAGGGAATAAAGCACAATTATCACAGTTCAGTCTGAATTACAGAATGTACTGTAATTCAGTGTTTCCCTCTCTACCTTCACCAGCTCATCTCACACTGCCCACTCTTCTCCACAGCAGTTTAGTGAATAATCTACAATAACAGCAAGCAGCTCCTTTTCTCCAAAGGATTCAGATGGACAACCACATTATTACAGTCACCATTTACACCTCCTACCACACTTCCCTGGGCCATTGTTTACCCACTGCACTGTAAACTTGTATCCATTTAACGTTCATCTTAGTGCATCACCACAGGCAGGGTAATACAATAGTGACGGGAAAATTAAAAAGAAACTTACCTAGGCCATCTTTAAAGGGGCATTTGTAGCAGTAACCCATACAGTTCTACTAGAACAAGATTCTTCTCTAATAGAAAAAAATTATTTCCCATTTAAAAATAGACATTTTAGTTTTAACTTATTTAGGAAAAGCTACACAGAAATAATTAAATGTGTATATATATCCAAAAAGTATAACACAAGTCTAAAAAATCTCTTCACCTAGAGTTAGAAAAGCTCTCAGATTACACAGCAGCACTGTTAAGGTTTTTCCTTCTGTTCAGGGACATAGTTCAATTGCTCTAGACTAGATCCAGTGGTATTTTCAGAGTATTCACTTTCTTTGTTATGGCAATACTACAATTAAAAAAAAAACCAAAAAACCACTTATCCCTAACTCAGTGATTTTTGTGTGCGTGTAAAATGCTAAAAGCTTTAAGTTTAGCTAAAACACAACTAAAAGAATTCCAGAAGGCAACTGGTCAACATTGCTGCTCATCACAACATGATGAGCAAATTAAAACAACTAACATCACTTTATTTGTAGAAGTAAAGTAGAAGCCCTGGGAATATCTTTGCACATGCAACTTGAGCTGACTGAACCAGCAGCAGCCCATTACAGCACTGCTCCTCAGAGGATTGCTGGCACACCCAGGAGAGCAGAGTGATGAGCTTTGGTGCCAGGGCAGCAGCCAGCCCTGAGGACACCTAACACCCAGCAGGAGCCTGCACTGCCCCCCTGCCACCCCGGGGCACTCCTGGCAGTGCCCAGGATTTGACGGAAGCCAACAGCCACAGCCAGGGCTGTGTTCAAACATCTCCTGTCTGGATGGACAGGGAACCTGACCACAAAGGTGGCTCCTCAAAATCAGGGAGGACAGAACAACCAGTTCCCTTCTACTCAACTCAACCAAATGTCAAACATCTGCTAAAGACATTAAACATACACCTACAGAAATTAAGTTTACGCACGGGATCCCATGGGGATAAGCCTAGTTCCGATACTCGGAAAAACAAAAGTTACTCTACAGGCCATTCCCCAGATTTTAAATGCATTACTGAAGTAACCATTTGAAATACCAACAACTGCTTGTAGCATATCTGATGGATATGTTCATTTAAATTCTTCTGTCTAAAAATAGGAGATGAAGTAATTCATCCATCAGTGCTCTATATCCCATTAACTCAGGTAACCATAGATACCAGCAAAAAATGAAATCAAATAGATTAACATTTGACAGGTAAGAACTTCAAGCATACCATACACACAAGTTTATTTAATGATGTTTGCTGCAGGTTTTATCCCACAACTGTGGTATTATTCAAAGGAGATGAATCCTCAAGCAACAATCTCTATCTGATGCTTGAATATTTCAGCAGTCATACGAGACGCCATTGCAGCAATGGGCTGATGAATTTGTCAGGCTTGGGTGAATTACACGACATGCCCAGTTCCACTTCATAAAAGCAAAACCCAAACCAACAAAAAGCTATTAAAAACAAAACAAAAACAAAACAAGCAGAAAACCACCCCAAAAAACACAACAAAAAGTGTTTTAATTTACCATGTTGTAATAATATCTTTCCCAGTCTTATAAAAAAACTGAACCAACCCTGCTGTAGCAATTGTAAAGAGCAGAACAATCAGTGGATGGCAACAGGAAAACAATTGAATCTTGAACTCAAGTGACTCTTCTGGGGAGGCTGAAGCCAGTTTTATATTCTTTATGCAAAAGATTGTTTCTTTGAAGATGGGCAAAGACTAAGAGGGAAAAATATATGGTATTTGTAAATACCAACCTTACTCTATATTTCTCCCCACAAATAAAATCCCTTTGCCTGGAAAGCTTATATTTTACGCTTACAAGAAGACACAGAGAGAACCTTTTTACTGCTGCAGTACAACATTTTCCTGATAAGCCATTCCTGACACACTAAGAAGCACTGGTTATAAAGACCATTTTAAGACATCAGAACAAATTACAGTTCTTAAAAATATTGAATAACCTAAAGACCAAGTTCTGTGTATCTATTTTAAGGTTAAACAAAACAAATAACACACAACAAACTCTCTTCGTGTTTTTAGTACAAAAAAATAAACCAAACTGAAATTCAGTACAACACTGAAAGCAAGTATAACCTGTACATGCATTGGTTTCTGTTGTAATATTAATAATTTGCATGAAATTTTTTTTGAGGCAAGCAGAGAAAAATTGTTTAATTTCAAATTATGTCTTTCAAACACATTTATGCAATCTATCAGCTAATATTTTGTCCCTTCCTTGTTTTGTGAGCTTGTACTTATGTGACATCCTCATGGCCACTGGCTGGTCAGTACAACGTGTGAGTGTGACATGGATAAGCAATATCAGGATATCTGTGCCATTGTTCTTGGGAGCAATGCAGCAGCTGAAAACATGGAAAAGGAGATAGCAATACATGACCAGCAAGCATTTTGGGAAGCAACAGTGAGCCAATAAAGCAGCTTTCAAACTGCTCAGTTTGAGCATAGAAGGATCTGGGTGTTCTACCTGCTTCCCCTGCCTGCATCCACAACCTCTTTCAAGCAACTGCAAGACTAAACCGAGCAATGGGATATGAGATACCAGACATTGGGAGGTACTGAACTAGTCTGTGCTTTTCCAATACATTTTCACAGTTACAAAGGCTTTTCCTAAGCCAACCACTGGGACAAAGTCCTTACCACAGAGAATACAGATATTTTCAGGGCTTATCTCATTTCCCTGTGCTGGAGTTCCCCAACACACACACAGTGAATACTGCTCGTGTTGCTGGCTCCCTAAAAGCTCACCTGGTCCAGAACTGACATCCATATTCCTCTGCTCCAGCCCAAGGATGAACTCCCTGCTTCCCTAGAAATATGGATGGTTCCCTTGAAGTTACACTGCTGCAACCATCACATTTTCCAACAAAATCCTGTACCTGACTAGGGAGAACAGCTGTACCACCAAAGATTGTCATTCAAGGTAATTGATTCTGTGCCTCTGCTCCTGCTGCACTGATCAGCAGTGTTCCCATGAGCCTGTGGCTGTAAACCCTCACTCCTCACCCTGCTCCCCTCAGCCATCAGCAGGGGCACGGAGAGAGCCCCGGGACAAAGCCTGCATGGGCAAAATATGCCAGGAAGGAAATCGTGGGACTACAGCAATTTGAAGCAAGATCTCAGAATCCCTCAAGCTTCAGGCACCCATGGCACAAAAGAAGTTTTCTAATCTATGTACCAAACACAGTAGATTATGTATTCCAAACACTGAGCAACTAATGTGAACTGCTGGAACATGCACCAATTTACTAAGCTATCACGTGTAGGCAAGGCCTTTATTTTTCATTTCAAATTAAAGAAAACTTGAAAAAAATATCAGGAACTGGCCTATAAAGGATATTTCTTCAAATTGGATTCCAGTAAATTTTCTTTGCTACAGAAAATATCATTTCTCTTTTCCTACTTAGTTGTGCAATATAATATGTTATAATCACATTTAGCTGGAACAATAACAGTAGCACTTGCATAATAGGAACTGCAGAACCATTCTTGCTCAACAGCAGTAGCAGTGAAGTCATCTAAAGTTGAAGTAATGACTTTGCTGGTCTTAATGGCTTCAAGTCTCAATTCAAAGGGAATTGGAAATACAGCTATTGGTGTGAACGTTTTCCAGAGAATTTCTCATAAATCCAGATGATTTCATTACTTCTCAGAAAGTATCTTTAAATTACATGTAAAGGATCAACTTCACATTACAAATGAAAATGCCACATATGCAACCCTAAGAGATTTTAGTTAGAATGTCTAGAGTTGATGTTCAGTCTCAACTTTCACTTTGAAATTGCTGTTTCTTTAACAACATGTAGCAGACAAGCCCATACGATTAGGCTGCTTCCATTTAATCCGTAAGAGAAATTTCATAACAAAGGAATCAGAAAACATCTGCAGGCATTAAGTTATTTTCAAGAGAAACTGTTTAAGTAGTAAAGGATCCAAATATGTTTTCAATAGCATTTTCTTTTTTTGTTTGTTTTTAATTCCATTGAAGAAGGATTCACAGTCATTCTCCAGCAGCCTGATATTTTTGTAAAATGGTGTAAGACAAATAAATCATGTACCTTTTACAAGTTAGCTTTAAGGATACCCTGCAAACATAAGGACAATCTCTCAGGCTTATCAAGCTGGATTTTAGGTTCTAGGTGCATAGGTTACTTGAAGGAGCAAAATACCTTAGTACAATATGGTTATTTTAAAAGGAAAAGCAAAATCAGGATTTAGACTAAAACAGAGAACCCCAAGAAAAGACATGAGGCAGCCTGATAGATAATTTTAAAAAATATTCCTGTCATGTTTTAGAATTATTTAGTCATTCTATAATTTATTAAAGTTTACCATTTCTTAACTGATACCGTGAATAGCTGGAAAACAGATATGTGGCAGAGGCTGACTTAGTGAAATTGAAAGTGACTGAAGAAGTAAACCTACTTAAATATATATCACAGCATAAATATTTATTTAATGTAAATGTATAAACAGTTGGAAGAAAAAATAGCACTAGAAAAACAGGTAATTTTATTTAAGGAATCAATTTAAATCTTTGCAATTAAAAAACCATCCTAACACAAACAGGTCACATTGTTAGAACCCATTTAAATGTTTGGGTTCCTCAGCAGTCTCACTCTGAAGAAGGATGCAGCACCCAGAGCTGGTTCTGCTGCTGTAAGAGTCATTCTTTGTCACCCCATGCCCCACATGTCCCCAGCCATGGCTGAGCCCCGTGCTTGCAGCACCCAGGGGTTTGTGCAGCCGGTAATGAGTGGGGTAACAGAACTGGTGAAAGGCAAACAGGTGGGAGCCAAGGCTGCCCTGCCTGGAGCCCCCAGCACTGCCCTGGGCCTGCCTGGCACTCGCAGCTCAGCAGCAGAACCCAGAGCAGCCTGTGCTTAACAGCTCCCAAACGGGTCTGTTCCCTTTGTGAGATGAACCCAGCCATGGTACTGCAAGCAACATTTAACTCCTCTGCCCAGCCTTATGGGATATTAACCCTTGGTGCCTGCACCAAAACCAGCTGTTGAAAGCATCTGTTCTCTCTCATGCTTGCCATTCTAGAAGGTCCTTCCCATAACATTACTAATTTAAATATTACTTCAGGTTAATTACTGTTTCTTTGGTCAAATAGTAAGCAATATTTTAAAATTGCATTTTAAACTCGAGGCATGAACAACAGCAATAATATCATCCTAGAGAACAGCATTTCCAAAGTTATTATGCTCTGGACAAAACCAGCATTAAGAAAAGCAGCTTATTTTAAGGCACTAAAATATTTTGAAAAATTTTCCATTTCTCCTGCTAATTAAGACTGTGGCCAAATAACACGTAACAACAAAAAAGCTTTTGTTGGAATTCCACCTTGCTGAGGACAAAATTCTACCAAAGCATTGCTAGGGGATTGTAAGCAATACATTTCCAAGGGCTGTCTCATAGAACTGTGATATAAAAGGTTATTACTTTTCCTCTAGAAAAACACCCTCCTTTTTGCCTCTGTGCTAACCAGTCTAATGCAATAGAAGGAATTTACATCCACAGCTAAGGAATGTTACATTCCTGCTGGGGGACTGCAAATTTCACTGAAGTACATCCCACCCTCATTCTACCTATAAAGCACTCTGCATACCAGCAGCTTAGAGCCCAAATGACTGCACATGTTTCTTAAACTAAAAAGAACATCCCCCAAAATAATAAAATAAATTTTAACCCTTCCCCCCCCCCCCCCCCCCCAAAAACCCAAAAAACCCCAACAAAACAAACAAAAAAATCCCCATACAACCAATTTTACCTTGTTGATGGAAACTGTCAATGCTGGCTCCACTTTGGCCTCAATTTCTTCTGGTGAGTAATAACAAAGGAGTTTGCCACCTCTCAGTACACAATACAGCCTCCTCCAGCTTGTCAGACCTCCTACCATTTGCTAAGGAGAAGAAGTAGTGAGAAATTGCCCAACATAAACCTAAAACACAACCACGTTGCAAGGTGCACACATACCAGCCCTGAGTGATCAAACCTTAGCCACACCAAATTCATTCCTACAACAAAGACTTTCTGTTATAGAACATTTCAATCACTGATTTCTGAAATGTGAGCAGTACTTTAAATGTCCTCTGGTGTTTTACAGTTTTCACAGACTTGCCATGTGACACTAATAATACAGAATCTGCTGGTTAACACAATGAAATCTAGATCTGGTGTCTAGTGTAAAAAAAAGAAAGCATCTTTATTAGCTACAGCAATTGCACAATTATAGAAATAAAATGAGTATTTCACTTTGGAAATACATACTGCATTCAACAAATGTCAAGCAAAGACATTTGTCTAGAATTTCCACTTCCTCAAATGAATTTTCTGAACAGCTTTCATAAAACCATAACAGTTTCACAATCAGTGTAAAGCCTGTAATTCAGCACTCCTGACAAATGACCCAGACCCTCTGGCTCTCCACTATCACCTTCTCATTTGGCTAGTTGTGCAACAAACCAAAATAGAGAAGTAAAGTGAGCTCACATGAATCATTTCTGAAGGGATGAGTTTAGATGTGGCTCTGTTCACCAGCCTGATTCACCATGCTGGGACAGAACTCGTGTGGCATCACAACAAGGGGTATGTACAAGGATGAGAGCCACAGGATCACCAGGACTGATGCCATCAAGTACCACTGCAAACCAACTCTGAAACAAGAGTTTTACTTGATCTGTCCTAACAGCCTACGTCATTCATGCCAAGGAAACATTGATTTCTCCATGCTCAGCCACTGAAGGCACCTTTTGTGAATGCAGCTGTGAGAGTTTCCCCCTTGCTCTAGGCAGAACAGGTAAAGAACAACAGTTCTCCGTACAGCACTTCAGGTAACAGCAAATCTTCTAACAACTGACTCTTAGTGACAGCTTTTAACAGGCCAGGATGCAAACACAAGCAAGGGCTCCTTACCTGCTGATTTAGAAATCCTGCCATCATATCCCTGGCCATGCAGGAGGGCTGGACAACTAAACGGCAACACATGTTCCCATACAGGGGCAGCCAAAAAGAGGATTCCTCTGGGGGAAAGAAAAAGACAAAAGAGACAAACACTCAGGTCTGAAAAATTGCCCTGAACATACAGTTTAGCTTTCTACCTCTGTTTTTACATTAAGATCCTGAGTCTAAATAAGCATATTTTCATATTTTAAGGAATGAGATTTAATCCGGTGGGATTAGATTAAAACTGATTTTTAGTCTTCAGGAAATGTTTTTTAATTGAAAAAAATTACTAAATTCCAAAATAATTTCAAGTAAAAATGGCAATATTGCTCTGCAAAAAAGAGTTGTTCTTACATAAAATGTGGCTCATTTCAGAGCTAGAAACTCTTTGAAAGGTAAGTCCCTGAGCCCATTCCATTGTGGCACACAGCTACATTTATACATGAGCACTTTGCTTCAGGATGTTTCAATAAGGCTTCAATGAGGAATTTGTATCTACTTTTGCCTTCAGCACTAGAGGAGCACTTAGGGTTCCAAGGAGTTCCTAACGAATTGGAATCACTCAGCTCCACTGTGCAATAGGCTCTCTCTCCTGTAATTAGAAGTAGGTAATGCAATGTTCCACTAATGTGACTGTGTCTTCGGTCAAGGTTTAGAAATGCTTGTAATGAACCAAAATATCCAGGTATGTCCTTCCTCATCAGACTAAATTATGTAAATTAATGTCAGAAAAAGGAACTTGAAGAAAGATATAAAGTACTAATAAAGAAAGGCTTACAAATATCAAAGGTACTCAGAATTATTCATCCAACACTTCAAGAAAAAAATGCCCCATAAATGTTCAAATCTGTACTTATTCAGAATTACTGAAATGTAAAGAAGGAAATTCCCTCTGAGGTCAAGTTTACTTCAGTAAATGATTTAAATTCCCAGAAGCAACAGTGACAGTCCCATGCCTTAAGTTAACAATTGGAGGATTGCTTATGGGAGGGGCTAGCCTTGCAGAAAATAATGGACAAAGTACCAAAAAGTGAAACCACCACCATCAGCTGCAGCATAATCAGTCCCCCAGTGCCAGCATCCAGGCTGGCTGCTCCCAACTCGTGCTGCCCCCAAGCTGAAGGACAGCAGCCAGCACAGACTGCAAGCACACACACACTTACATCCTGTGTTCAATCTGGGCCTCAAACAATCTCGCCAAACTGAAGCGATTTTTCTTCTTTCCTTCTGACTACAGAGAAACAAGCTGTTCTTCATTCTGATACCCTTCCTTGGTTGTGAGGAAGGGAAAATAATTTGTATATAACTCCAACTCACATAAGATGGAGATGCAAATGACAGAAGAAACTCCCAAAAGAATTAAATTTTCATCTGGACTTGAAATTTTACTCAACTTATAGTTTATTCAGCTGTGTACAGATGCCTGGTTTAGAGCCGTTAAATATTTTATTAAAGTTGTTCTATATTGAGTATCAAGAAAAATAATCTCTTTAAGCCCTTTAGTTTACAAGACTTTAATGCAAAATGTTACTGGTTTTTTATTTCCTTAAATTGATACCATATGTACTTACCATTTCCTGTAATGGTAAGGTTGTGGGTCCTGAAATTGTCCTCAGCACTTTCCAGCCCCAGAGTGGTGTATGCCAGCAAACTGTACTTAGCTCCACTACATGGGAAAGAAAAGGCACGTTTAGGACCTTTCTGCTTCGTGTTGCTCAGGCAGTAATTAAAGGGAGTCTAGACACACCTCAGAGAGCACATTTGGGTACAAGGAAACAGCAAGGTGCAGGACAGGACCTGTCAGTGACCACAGATGGAAACCTCCAACCTCTTCCCACACGGCTCCTGTGTCTCTGGTTCTCCTTGTAAACACTGTTCCACATTCTGTTCCTGTCCTTCCTAGACCCTTATCTCCTGCCCCCATGTGTACCCCCAGTTCCAGGCCAATGCCATCATTCATTACAACTCTTTCTGCTGCCTCCTCTCTGGGACCTGCTGGCCAGGAGACCTCTCATGTGGTCACTGCCTACAGCTGGGCTTGTGCTTCCTCAACACAGGCACACAGGCTGTGCTATCCAAACCCTCTGCACCCTCTGCATGCTCTAAGCACCTCTCTCCTCTAGGCAGACACCAAGTAACGTTCAATAAGAGTTTTACAGCTCTTATTCCTAGGCCTAAAGCAATTAGATTTGGTAAGAGGTTCAAAAATTCCTAAAGTTAATAGAACAACTGATGACAAACTTTATCTGAAAATACAGGTTAAAAATTAAATGGCATTATAATGCTTCTCCATGTTGCTCTGCTCTTCACTTTGCCTATGCAGACTACACTTTATAAACCAGTTGTTTATATATGTATTTTTTATATAATCCAATAGATTGATTATTCACAGGCAGAAATCTGTACGGAAATCTTATGGTCAGTTTTGTAGCAGAAAGGATTTCTTTTCACTTATTGGACTTGGAGGTTTCAGAATCTTTTATCTTAGTTTTGCATTTTGCCTAGGGGAAAAAAAGTATCACTCTTACAATTCAGCACAGTGCAATTGTGGAATGCAGTTCTTGGAATAAACTGGTATAAATTTAGTACTTTTAACCTTTTCTCTAAAATACTCATTGGACCAAGTAACAGATTTATAGTCCAGCAGTGCAGTAGGAATTCCACCTGGCTAATGGCAGTTAGGACAAAGTTCACAAGAAAACAAACCCCTCCAAATCACTAACTACTCTCCCCAACAGGATCTAGCACAAGATCCTTAAAATATCTTCAGTAGAACATAAGAAGGCTTAGTGGTGTAAAAGCTGAGAAGACACCATTGAACCAAGATCCTCAAGAATAGTTTTCCATCTTAGTATTGCACAAATTTTATTTTTCTTACTAGCACAGTGGGAACACAGAGTTTTCAGACCTTTGGCTGTGCAGATAAATAAGGAGAGTGTCTACCTCCCCCTGACCCTAAGGACAGAGGAGGAGGAAAAGTAGGAAGTTTGTTAGAGGGGAGGTGTGCTCCATATCTGTCTCCAGGGAACAAATAGAAAATTAAATACAATATAACATCCTGGGTGAAAAAACCCTGCTATGAGGCGTTTCAAGAGGGAAATCTGAACAAAAACCCATCAGCATTTGTCGATATTTCCTGCTAAACTGCTCCTTAACAAAAGAACCTCCACTGATTATGTTTGACCAAGCAGTTGAGCAATGCATTACCATTCTATTTAAAGTGTACCAAAAAGTTCAGTTTCTTCTCACAGATAAAACTGCTGTGCTGATTCTAAAGTTACTTTTTTTTCCTAAAGCATGACTAATTACCACAACAACATTGCCAAAAAAAATAGCTACTTCACTTTTAAAATATGCTCCACAGTAACATTTTCATTCTAAAATACAAGTCATTCCTTTCAGGCAGCTGCAATATAATTTAGGAAAGTTTTATCTACAGATATTTTTCAGATTTAACTGGCTAATCAGGATTGTTGACTGTGTTTTTCCTTTGCATTTCAGAGAATTAGCTAACTGCCTTAAATGGCAGTTTCTTTGTATAACAAAGAATAATCTGCCTGCTGCATCTCATTCAGTACTTTGCATATCTGTAGTATTTTTCCATTTAATAACTTCATTTAAAAAAACCCAAGCAGCTCATCTCCACAACAAGCCTGTGGCAAAGGCTCATTGTTAAATCTGTTTACTGATCAAGAGACAGAGGCACCGAAGTTTCCACACAGACCTGGGTGTGGGAAGGTCTAACTAAAACACTCTATCAATGTATGTTAATTAAGACATCTTCAATTCCAGAATCTATTCCTGAATATTAAATCCAGTGTTAGAAATCCCAATCTCACTTCATTCATTCAATGTGAGTGAAGGAATGAGTGGAAGACTTGTGAGGTAAAAAAAAAAAAAAAAAAAAAAAAAAATCAATATGTTCAATATTCAATCAGATCTTAAATAACAGAGGGTAAAACCAAATATAACCTTCAGGTGCTAACAAGAACCCAACCACAAAAGTTGTACCAGATTAGACTGTGTACTTCCAGCTAAATATCACTGGGGATTTGCCAAATCAAACACAGGATATGGAAGCTGCTGCACCTTCAGCCCAGTGGAGGACAAAACATCAAACAACAACCAGTGCCTGCACAGCCAGTTCTGCAAACCAGTAAACAGCACTTGAGGGAGACTCTCCAGTGGTTTATCCAAAGAGCAACCTGCTTACACTGCAATTTAATAGCAAAACTGCACTAAAATTTTTTCTTCTATGAAAAATGTAAAAAGAAAAAAAAATTAAGCTAGAATTGAAAAACTAAGCAGGCAAAAGACTGTATAGAAACTAAATGAGGGATAATTAAGAGAGAATATCAGTATATTCCAAATTAACTAATGAAGCAACCCATCAAGCCCTTTGTCACAAAGCTTTTTCAAGAAGTTCCAAGTCTGAGAGTTTCCTCACTAACCAGAGAGATTTCTAAGCCAAGAAGTTTGAAACAGAGGGATCACAGAGTTTTTGGGAAATGGAGAATTTCACTCATGTGTGCATTGGAAAGAAAAAGGCTTGTATAAATGAAATCTACAGAGAAAAGGTGTTCGCATAATATAGAAAGTTCACTTTTTTGTTGCAGTTTAATTTCCCCTGCTGGACTGGTAAAACTCTCTGGGAATACTTGAAAGATCTCTTGTAATCTTGCAGTCTCTTCCTTTTTATAAGGGCTACATACCAAGGTCTAACTAATATAAATCCTTGGGGGAACCTATAAAAAAAATTGACAACTTATTTTCTGCCTATAATAACCCATTTCTTTCCAAACAACTATTTTAATCACCCAGCAATGCCATCATTTAACACTTCATTGTTCATTTAATTGTGTTAAGAAAGTAATAGCCACTGTGAGATGATTATCTACGTAGAAACAACAAACTTCCAAGATGGAGGGAAGGAAAATTCAATTGAGAAACCAAAAGCAAAACCCAGGGGAGGAGGCAGCTGTTTAAATTGCCTACTGGTGCTTTTTCCTGAAGAGACAGGCAATCTATACTGGAGAGAGAAGCCAGTGCTTATATCTGATTCAAACTGTGTCTAATGACAGTGTCTCATGGCTCAGCTGAAGCACAGCCACCTGACGTGATGCACATTGAAAAATGCTTTGTCATTAGGTGGAATCCACTGGAAAGTCAGTGATAGAATTTGTTTTGCTCTGTGGATAAGATGTCTTGGATGTCTATTTTTGAGTCAAACAGAAAAATCAGTTTACAGTTATATCAGTTCAACAAAGATAGAATATGCTTGAATGTTTCCTTTTAAAATCCCAGCAAACAGACATAGGAAACTAGACTAAGACTAAACACCTAGCAAGAATTAAGCATTGATTCTTTACTGTCAGCTGCCAAAAAAAGAGGAATTACTTGAAAAAAATCCTTTCCAAAAAATAAAAATAAATTAAATAAACCAATGCCATTAATATTTGCAAATTCAGTATTTGGCCTATTTAAATCCAAATGAAATTGAAGTAGCTGGAAAATATTAGTAGGCAGTTAATTTTTAAAAGGAAACAGGTAAATTATTGGGAAAAGCACTTAGGCCTATGAACACTGAAAACCAGTAAGTCATTTTAAAATGTCCTGTGCTAAAGTCAATTCAGAAATCCCCTGCTAAGTAACAGTAACCATAAAGTGCCTTTGGCAGAGCAGAGTTTCACTGAAAAGCTGGCAAGTGGAATTAGGGAAGAGGGTACAGGAGTGGGTTCTCCTGCCTACATACACACTTTTTCCTATTTCACACAACTTGGAACCTTTACACATATCTACCTGTCAAGTATGAGCAACACTGGCTAGGTGCAAAAATAGTATGGGGGAGGAAGCAAACAGGGATGGGGGAAGGAGAAGAGGTACATGGATAGAGTGTCACACACAGACTGTACAAGCTCAACTTCCTCTCGAGATCAAACTAAAAATATTATGGAGTTTGCAAAGAACAGTGGATTTACCAGCTGGCTGGCTGTGGAGCACACAGATAAAGGCTGCTTGTGTGTTTCAAGATCAGAACCAGGCCCCAAGGCTCAGCGACATGGTTGGAATTCACACCTACTTTCTCATTTCCTATTTAAAATGTAAATTTTTTTCACTTGGGCAAGTAGAGAAAAAACCAGTTTCTAGGCAGTTTGCCAGAAATTTACAATTATATTTGGCCTATTTCTATTTTAAAAGCTACAAAACCAGAACATCAATATATGTGGCTTACTGGATGACTGGGTCAGCAGGCAAAAGGGGTTCAGTGCTGTCTTCTTCCAGTGCAGCTTTGAGTTTCTTCCCTGTAGCTTTGCTGAGGGATGTTTTAAGTTTCTTTGCCAGTTTCTTAGGAGTGTTTGTTGTATATAAAGACTCCTCTGTACAGCAGCTATAGACTTCAACCTTCACCTGGAAATCTGGGCTTGCTTCATCACTGAAGTGGGGGAGGAGAAAATTTCAGAGCGTTTGTTAACAAACTGTGTATGGAGCCAAGGAATGCTGCTGCTACTTTATAGATTAAATAAGATATTTCTAATCAAGGGAAGAAATGCCAGAACGTTCAGGCACAGATATACATTAATATGGAACTAAGGACTAGAGTACACAGTAGTAACTTAGTATTGGGGTCATGAGATGGATAATTGCAGCATAAACAATTACAAACAGGAAATTCAGCATTTAGGTTAAAAATGGAAGAAAACACCCACGTTATGGAAATAACCAGGCAAGACATTCAAACACACTTAAATCTGCCCTCTACTGTTACACAAAAATCACATGACTGAAAACCTATCCCTGCCTATGGGCCTAAGTCATATTGAACTGTTTAAAAGATATCTTACTGCACCCCATCCCCTTCAAATTACTGATAAAAATGCTATCTAATAAAATCTGTCATTTACAACTTAACTACCTACTGCTGCATCCTCTGGCCCACAACCTTTCTCAGTTTTCAGTTTTACTGATTCTCTTGTTCTCAAGCTTAGTCATCAAGCCAGAAGCCTAACCTCATCTTTCAGATCCAAATCATGTCATTACACACATGCCATAATGAAACCATTCCAAAAGCTTTTCTATCAAGTCTTTTTATGCCTTGTGGGATACAAGGCAACTTAGGGTGCCTTTTCTGCTTTTGTTGCAGTGCTTCACAGAAAATTATAATGGTTAAGTCTCATAATTTTGAGAAGAAGATTTAAATCTTTATCCCCACTCTTAACTTGAATGGGTGTTTAAGAGAGTTTAAAATTTGATTTAAACTCAGTTTTCAGGATCTTGATTTAAAGTTTTTAGTAGTTCTAGTTTTTCAGTCAGTCTTCCTCAGAAAACAGAATTGTTTTCTCTAAATTGTAGATATAAAAGGCAGGGAGTGGAGTCAAGCACACGCTCAGGTAGGTGTAACAGACTTGAGGTGTTACATGAGGAAAGAGACTGTAACCTGCTGGACACATAACATTTACATCTAAAATGTCATAATGCTTTCAGGTTTTAGCAATAATTTAATGATAAAATTAATTATTAATTAATTATTAATTAATGTTTGAGATGTAAGTTTATCTCTTTATTTAAAGAAAATGCTTCAGCAGGGCAAAAATGAAAAGAAGTACAGATCAACTGGCACATCTCCAACCAGCATCATTCTGTACACAAAACCAGCCTTGCAGAGATGGGGATCCTCCACCCACTAAAATGAACAGAGCCTCTACTGATTCCTTTGCCCACAGCAAAACCTAGTGGACCTCAGCCAATCTTATTCATAATCACATCCACCTGCAAAAGAAAACAGCAGTATTTGTACTTCATTCAACAGAAGTAAATGATACTCACAATATGGTTACATTTTCAAAACAGATATCTGTTATTGCTTCATCCACAATAGTCACCTCAGTATCAAAAACCTCAGCTCCCATTCTGAACAAACAAAACACTGCATAGCGCTGTGATTCTGGAGAGAGGCACAGAGAACCTTCATCAGCCACACTGCATGGCACAGTACCAAACACTGCCAGTAACAAAACCACCCAAAATGGTCATCCAGACCTCTAAGGAATTGCCCTCAATTCTTCCCACCACAAATTTTCATCTTAGGATTTTATGAGAATTGACCTGTATACATAGAAAAAATGCCTACCTCTATTAGGAGGGGAAAAAAAGTTGAGTAATCAGGTACAGTGTCTGCTAGCAACTTCAAAAACTTAAGTAAAAATGTAATTTTTTTAGTAAAATTGACTTTACACAAAAAAATTAACATTTGATCCAAAGCCTGTATCATTTCATGAATGTGCTACATAGGATTAGGCTATTTTGCCATGCTTTGCATCTCTGACCCTATTGAAAATCAAAGTGAAATCGATGCCAGGTGACAGCTGGAACAGATTTAGGATTAATCTCCATGACACAGCAAAATGCATGTACTTGAAGGCTATCCAATAATACCCTCAACACCAACAGTCAAGTTTCATTTAAATTTCTCATTGGAAACAGCCTCCAATACACTCTCTCAAGTGCAGACAAGACATAGAACAATGTGTTTAATCAGAAGTTTCTCAGTTAACCATTTAATACAACATTCTTCTGTTGCCTCCTCTGGAATTCTTCCTCAGGTGGACTCTTTAGAGTAGGGTTTAAACACAGAACCACAGGACTTTGAACTAACTCAGCTAGTGACAACCAGCAACTTCAAATTACAATCATTTACACAACAAAGAGCAAAATATAGACCTAATGAAAGGTCAAAAAAGGGGTTGAAATGACTATGAACTTCCTCATTCAGTTTAAATTTACAGGCATAAGCAATTGCTTATCAGAGTAATTAATTACATCTTACATACTTTCTTTTTTGCTGAAGTGGTCAGAGCCTTTCCACATTAATGGTATTCGAATATCTGAAGGAGGACAAAGAAGGAAGGGAGATGAAGTTATAGTCAATATTGTAGATCTGTGATCAAAACAAATTATAAAAAGTGTGTTGTTTCTTTTTCTGATCTTCTGGTGGTAACAGGGCCTTCCACCCAAAGAACAGCATAACTATTCCAAGATTATTATCCACATCAAAAGAAAATGGAATAATTAGCTCAACTTGAAGCGTCATTCCTGTTTAGAAATTATGCTGGAATAAAGAATATTTTAAATCTCATTTGAAAGTACCTGAAATAGCATTTCAGAGAAGCTGTGTAACACAGTTCTGAGAGGTATTCTCTGAGCCCATTATTATGCATAGATGTAAACCAAAATCCTGCTTGCCTTGTGCTGAAAACCACTCATCCCACTGCAAGAGGAAAACATTCCTGTTTTAATGAAAAGACTGGGATACTTATACTGCAAACACTTCAGTCTTGTACTGCTAACCACAGAGAAAATACCACTTGTAATCACATTCCCAGTCAGAATTGTCTTAGTCAGCAAAAAGAGTTTAGAAATCTTTTTTCTTTTAACACAAAAATACCCTTCTACTTCAGAACCACAGTAGAGAGGCAATTACAAAGCCATTATTTTGAATCATGCCTGTCATTTTAATATTAGGAAAGTATTTTTTTCCACTAAATTTTCCAATTTATCTACTAAACTCAACATAGTACTAAGTGACATTTTCCTCCAGCTTAGAGGACTCAGGTGAAGACAATGTTTTTTATTAGGCCCCTGTTAAAAGACAAATGCTGTGAGGGCTTTATAAATCCAGGCCTGATTTCTGAAGTACAAGGCTGCTGTTTAAAAGTATATGCAATATATTAAGTGACACATGATGGCAGCAGTGAACAGCACGAACACAGTTGTCTTGTGACAAAAATCTTCAATATTGTTATAAAGAAGCATTGCTGACTCCAGTGTTGTCTTCATATGAGAATGATGGAAAAATCCACATTCATTATGCTAAGATGCAAAATGGTGCCAGTATTTTGGCATCAGATTGTCATGTATTCCTACAGGGGTTTACCCACAAAACTTAAGTGAAATCACATTTAGTCACTCTGTCTCAGAAGATAACTGAAAAATTCAAATTTCAGTTAATTTTTATTATGAGACATCTTATTATAAAAGCTATTTCAATATTGAAACTTTCAAATTCATCTATTTTTAAGTGTTCACAAAAACGAAAAAACTTTCAAGTGAACTACCAGCATACAGCTGTAGACTTCTAACTTCCTAAAAATCAATACATCACCGTGTTCTGAAACTGCCTTTCACTTCTGAAGATGCATTTGCATAGCAAGCATTTCTAAAAATAGGGGGTTTTACACAAAGAGAAATAGTTTCATTAAAATCATTACAGAAGTCTCTCTTAAACTTCTAAAAGATATATATATTCATCTTTGTCAGAGACAAAGCACAGAACATTTCTTTCCTAAAATACAAAGGTCTCAAATCTACATTCATATGTGAAAACAGTTACAAATAAAAGCTTTCTCTATCTTTAATCATAGCAAACTCTGAATGACAATTTAATGCACTCGATGGACATTGTTAGCAATTAGAGCACTAGATTAAAGATTACTTCTGTGTGCCACTTTCAATATCTTGCTAGCTGAAAAATTTACACTCTGGTCAGAAAATCATCAGGGTATAGACAATCAATCCTGGAACAAGTTTAACATGATACTTGTAAATCAGCTTTCAATCCATTCTTGGACTGAAGGAGCTGTCATTTATCAAAAACAAAGATCAATTTTCACACACCTTAATTTCAGTTACCATTAGCTGTAAATCTGTGTGGATGCAAACTGGATACATTCAAATACTACAATTAATCAAATTTAAACTCAATGATTCCTTTATAAAATTACTTTAAATTATGATAATGCTTTTTCATCAACATTTGATGTATTGTCTTCTAACAAAAAAATCGATTGGTACAATAACATAAATGACATAATTTATTCAAAAATATGGGGGATAAGTAAAAATGATGGAAGTGTGAAAAACTGTGGATTAAGGAATGCACTTCCCACACAGTATCTGACATAGCTCTTTCTGTAGGAGCATATTCCTCAGTAGTCCTGCACAGTTCTTCCCAAACTTCTGCAGTTGGTCACGATTGCCCTACTTTTTTGGTAATCATCATCTGGCAGGCACTAACTATATAATACACTAATAAATTTATAAGTGGATGGATTGCTGAGGGTAGAAAATCAGGAGGTGACCTATAGAAAGAATAAATCAGCAGAGGCCAAGAACAACCTTTAGGCTTTTCTGCTGTAGACTGGACCTGGCCAGGCTTCCTGACACCAGTATCTGAAGAGGGGGGAGGCATGGCAGCAGCCAGCACGCCCAGGCTGCACTGCACAGAGAGGCAGTTTGTGCTTCCTCCTCTTCTCCTTGGTCTCTGCCACACTTCTGAGGACAGAATCCCCAGTTCTGAGAGCCACTGCGTTGGTAACAGAATCATTAAGAGATTGCACCAAATACAAAGTGGTGTATTTCACCCCCTATGGTCTTATTCCATCAAAAGAAACAACCAAAATTCTTCATATCCTGAGCAAGTTTTCCATACTAAAAACAGAGTTCTTAAAAAATTTGATTTTCTAAAGATAGCAGAAGTGTATGTTATATGACCCTAAGGTTTTCACTGCAGATAGCTCTCCAAATTTGAAGAAAGGTGCAACCACAGCACAGACAGGCAAACAGATGCTTTCATCCAACTACCATAAGGAGGAAAGACAGATACACATTCTGCAAACAGCTGTGCTGGCAAAAAACATTATTGAACCATGTGCTCATCACTCTTCTCCTACTAGGAGTTACCTTGCTTACAGATATACCAAAATATGCAGAATTAACTGAAACAGTTTCAGTAGTGAGCTGTTCTACACTATTTTATTCTTAATGAAGCAGGTCAGGGAGCACAAACAGATGTGTTAGCAAAGCTGGCAGAACAGCCACAGGACTGCTGAATGTAGTAACATCCACTACTGTCACAGGCAAACAACACAATAAATGCACAGGGCTGAAGTTTGAGAACAGGCTAGGAAACAGCCCACTAGGAATGGCTGTTAAATGTTAAATGTTGTTAGTAGCTTGCATTGAAGCCATAGCACTACACCTTTGCTGTAGTAATGTAGTCTGCATTGCCTAAATAACATTTGCATACTAGTTATAATTCTGCTCCCAATTTGTTAGACATGCCCTGTACTATCACTTCAAAGTCTGCCGTTGGGGGCAGAAAAAAAGTTTTCAGCTCACTTACACTGATTTAGCTTTGAAATGCATTCAGTGTTTGGTGGCAAACAGAAGTATTTCCCTCTGTGGAGTGCACTGTGAGTAAAATGGAAATAGAGGGTAGGATCTTCAACAGCCCATGTGTAACTTAAGCCCAAGCCCCTTTGCAGCATTAGAGGATTGATGCCTCTGAAGCACATTTACACTTTAAGAATACAATCTTTTCTGGATAGTTTGCATTACAAGACACTGTCCAGCTAATTAGCTTCTACAATTAAGTGACTACCTGGCCTCTTACCTGATATAGCAACCCTTGCTCTGCATGCCGTCCGCTCTTTTGTCCCATTTTCTGAAGACCTCCAAAAAAGAAGAAAAGAAAAAAATATTTGAGATCTGTGCATTTAGATATCTAAAAGTCAACCCTTAAAACACTAAGAAGTGTCAGCATTTTCATATTATAGCTCATTTCAAATGCCTTTTTTTAAACTTAATTTTGGTATCTCTGGTTTAAGATATGAGTCACATTAATTTCTTAAGCATAATCTGGAAGGAAGGTACATCACCATTTTTTCAAAATTCCCTAGAAGGCTTTACTCCAAAGTAAAGTCACACACAAATCTTCCTTGTCTTTTCCAGCTGCAACAGGATCTAATTTATTATCAATTTTTGCCTTCTGTACACATCAATGAGGATGCAACTCAATTTATTGGTTCTATTATTGTTTAAAGAGTTGCCTCCTCCTCTATTAATAAAATGAAAATTTCTAGCTGCTAGCAGTATCATGACTTCCAGAGGCAGTTAGAATATCATCAGAACTCACAGATGAAAAATCCTAGAACTTTCTCTCTCTGCAATGATTAAGCCTTAAATAAATTCCAGTCTGAAGCAAATATCAAAAGAAAAAGAACTCCAAATGGACTATCAACTACCAAAGATATAATTTAAATGATAGAGAAATAACTCTGTAGCATGCATCCCCTTCTAATGACCTCCACAGACATTTGAAGTACCCCTGAAGACAGAAATCCAAGCAGTGCATGGCAGTCACAAATCAAGTGCACAATAAAACTGTTCAGATACATCTCCAAATGTCCCTGCCCTGTTCTGGACATGTGCCATCACCATTCTGTGCTCACTGACATCAAAGACAAGGAGCTGAGTAAACCAGCACAAACACACACTTGGTATTATTCCATCACTAAAAACATAAATAAAAGATAAAATCACTATAAAATTCCTTATTTTATTAGGAAAAAGCAATACAAATGCAATAATTACAGAATACCACATGTATTATATGCCAGTTTTCAAAAGCAGCTTCAGAATAGTGGACAGAAAGCACTGCTCTTTTCTCCTCTAAGGGAACATTTCTGAAACTGAAAAGTAGTGGAACTGCTCCTACAGATACAATTAATTGGAGCCAAGCATGTACTCACAGAGTTTCTACACTAAACTGCAATATCATATTTCAATAAATTACTAACCTGAGAGCAACAGTGTCTCTGCACCACAATTCTCAGCATTGCACACCAAATAAATTCTATTTAGACCAAAACTTTGTAATATTATTCAAATGAAACACACATACTTTAGCTCCTTCAAGAGTTATAAAGTGAGAATTTTTTCAGCTACTTTTCTTCCCATTGAGTGTTGCATTTATCACTTCACTGTAGTTAACACAAGCGGCCAGCAGAGGGTACCAATTAACCGTGATGGGGCCATTAGTAAAGGACCCTTGATAATCATACCCAGAATGAAAAATACAAATAGCTGTGTTCTGTCTTGGATAGCTTTGTCTTGACTTGGCTGGGCACCTTTTTGTAAGCCAAAGGCAATCAAGAAAATATGTCCATTGTGTTACTTGATACTAAATTAATGTCAAAAATAAAATCTACCCAGGAAAATATGACTTGTATTTAATTTTCTAAAGCAAAGAGAAGATAATGGAATTATTTTATAACCTAATGCTTTAAGGCAGAAGTAATTTATGCTTAGGAGATAAGGAAGGATTTAAAACCACATTCCTAGACAGACTGCTAAAAATTCCTGTAAGAAATGCCTGCTTCATGCTGCTCCCTCTGAATTGGAGCCGGTACTCACTGCTCCCCCTTTGGGCCCTGCAGCTGTGCCCTGTAGGCCCGGATGCGAGCATTGCAGACCAGCAGGTTCTTCACGGCCTGCAGGAGCTGCTCCCTCTGCGTGCTCGCCGCCAGCAGCCGGCAGATTCCTTCCCGCATGCGGAGCTCAAAGTTGATCTTCTCTTGGGTGTCACATTCCTAGAGATGCAAAAAAACCAAAGGATGAAACTAAAAATTAACTAAGAGTATTCTCAAGTTTTTACATCCTCTGCAGTTGGGATAGAGAACTCTAGGTTTTAATTATGCACAGCAATTGCAATGGTTACTGAATGCAGAATGGTAGTTGTCTCTTCAGGAACAAATGAGTAAAACATGGGACAAAACAGATTTACTATATCCATTATACATGCAAATTCCAATCCAAGATTAACTCACTGTAGCATCTGAAAGTTACTAAAATTTTATGTGCCTCCATGTGTCATTCATAGAATAATAACATATGGTCCTAGAGAGGGTTAACTGAACAAAGCTTATAAATTAACAACTCACTTTTAACAGTGACCCCTACTAAAATAAATTTTAAAATTAAGAAAATGTCTGAAATATTTTAAATCAGAAACTCAGTCTCATCACTTCTTCGACTGTCTTTAAAAAAGTCAATCCCAGTACTCAACTGCATCAGGCCCTGAACTGAAAAGTCAAGCAGCTGTGCTGGCTTCAAGACTATAGAGGCATCATGTCAGGCACACTTTTCATTCAAACTATGAAGTAAACTAAACATGGCTGGCAAGTCACTGGAATTCACCATCACTGTATTTTGAAGGAGTGGGGGTTTTTAAGGTTTTATAAAAACTGCTGAGAAGTTAACTTTTTCCTGCCTGCTTTCACAGAAAACATTAATAAATGTGCATTACTCCTCACTTGTGACTTCAAAGAGGTCAATCCACAGCAGGCCAGAAAATAATTAAGGTGAAGGAGCACAGAGTGCTGTCTCCCAAAGGCCCGCTAGATGCCACTGATGGCTGATACACGTTACCTCAGTTACAGTTTTGTGGCTGTCCCTGGCCAAGCCAAGTATTTCTGATAGTGAAGAACAGAGTGAATAACAGAATGTCCTCATGGCATTGCAGGGTTCCATTGCAAATACTTTGCAGGCCAGTGAAGAGCGACGCTTTCTCATTACTAAACAAGAGTGCCTCTACTACCTCTGGAATTAACAAGTCCATGGTTGTTTGGTGGTAAATAGCTCCCAAAGCTCACATCAGAGATATTTTCCACAGAAGTTCTGCTGGTACTCTCTACAGCTGATATGTGAAAGCCTGGGACCCCGCATGGCACCACAGACTATGCCATTTTTAACCCTCACAGGTTTGCTTTTCAAAGTTTCAATCACAGCCAGAAGGAGATAAAGCAGGGGAACAACACCTCTGCATTCTCAGCACCTGCATCTTTATTTACACTTTTTCTTAGGACTCATCCCAGAAAAGAAAACAAAAAAGAAAAAAAAAAAAAAAAAAAAAAAAAAAGGAGAGCAGTAAATAGCTTTCATCCATCTTCTTTTCTTCTGAGTCAAATTTTACCTGGCTATGAAAACCTAAGCAAGGCCCACACCTGTCCCTAAGAAATAATTACTTATTTTCTGAACCTAAACTAATAAATCAGCTGCTACAAAGCTCCAAAGAATGAGATCCTATTTCCCCCTAATAATTTCCAAGACTGCAGGCCTCAGCACTGCCCTGGCTCCTCTCCACATCTATCACCTGTTACAGAACTACAGTGAGGAAATAAACACTCCTGTTAGGGGCATCTGCATGTATCCATACTGGCTTTCAAGAACTGCACAACGCATTCAGTCCACACTACATCTCAGCCAGGTTCACATAAAATATTCTGGACTAGCAGTAGATGGCTGTTGGGCCATAGCTTAAATAACCACACTACGTAAATCTCATCTGAAGGAAGGATTTAGCAGCCTGATTTGGGAATGTATAAAGTTCTTTGTGCCTACCAAAAGAGATTGGTCAGCCTTTTTTCCCCCCATTCTGTCTAAAAATACAGGCACACCATCTGGACTCGGAGGAATGACACAGCACTGTGTTGCCATATGCTGTCTACTAACGCACCGTTCCCCTTGTGAGGGCCATCCTTCCCCCACCAACGGCAGCTCAATCAAGACGAGATTATCAACAGCTGCTGGGATTTTCAGCCCCACACTCAGGAGCTACCTAAGCAACGCTTCTAAAAAGTGTCTTTGTATTCCCCACCTAAGTATTCTCAGTGTAAGAAATTTCTAGCATTACAAAGGTAATGCAGTCACAAAACAAACAAAAATAACAACAGTGGAAAAAAATTACACGGATACTGCTGAAGGTAGAAATTTTACTTCATTAAATTGGTAGCTTCATCACAGGCTTCCAAAATCTTATTCCAAAGTACACTTCTAATTTACTGCCACAGCGGTTTACATTTAAACCCTAAAAGTCTAAACCCCATAAGTAGAGTGCATTTTTTTAAAGTGAACAAGTAGCCAGGCAGCGGGTTCTCTTTTAAAACGGGGACCGTGAAGTCAAGACACCAGCTTGGACATTTTGCAGTTAGAAACAGAAAGAGCATTTGCTGCAATTGACAACCACAGATTCACAGACACTCCCGAGCTCAACTTACTTGGATTTTTAACCAACTCGAAGCGTAAAAAAACCCCCTCACGAATCGGAAAACCAAGGAAGATTAAAAAGTTGCAAGGGAGCAGCTCCGAGAGCCTGTGGAGGACAGCGTAAGCGGGGGGCCCAGCTCGGCCCGGCCCAGAGCAGCCGCTCTGCCGCGTCCCCCCTCAGGAGAGCTCACTCAACTCCCACAGACCCGCCGAGCCCGGAGACAGCGCAGCTCCCGCCGCCCGCAACCGGGCACCGCCCGCCACACCGCCCCCGCGGATCCCGAAGGTGCGGACCGGGTCTGCCCTGCCGGCCCCGGCACTCACCGGCCCCGCGGCGCCCGGCCCGCCGGGCTGCTGCCGCCTCATCATCCTCATCCTCCTCGGCGGCGCCGCCGTTCAAACCTCCCGCCCGGCAACGGCCGCGGCCGCCCCGCCCCCGGGCCCAGCGGGACAGCGCCCGGGCGGGCTCGCTGGGAAAGCTGCAGGGCCGCCTCGGGGGCTGCTGAGGGCAGCGCTAACCCCTCGAGTGTAGCCACAACAGCCAGTGCCAGAAATAGGGCCAGGACAGTGCCCGTCTTGGCTTCTTTCTTCTCTGTTAATTTACTTTCCTGAAACAGGCCGGTGCCGCCTCTTTCTGATGAGTGCCCTTACGGGGAGCGGCTCACGGCAGCAACCACTGCTGCCCCAAAGCTTGCCATGAATTTTTAACCGTGTTCTTGGGTTCCTGCAGTTCATCTAATTATGCATCTTTAATATGATGGTACTTCAACAGCTGCACTAGTAGCACCTACTGTTAAAAGTATACTGTTATATACTGAGTAAAAGTGCATTAATTATTCACTAGATTGACTGGAGAGGAATGGGAGTCATATCTCTCTCTTCTGCTGCCAGTTTTGCAGCTCTGTTTGTCTTCGGCAGATGAAACAAATGAGCCAAATAGTGTCTCCCATCCATTCCTCATCCCTGATTTCTTGGCTTTCCTCTCTGATTTCCTCCTTAACAGGTGATGGTCAGAAGCACAGATCCTCATTGCTTTGCACAGGGTTGTCAACATTTGTGGGAAGTAAAATGTGCTGGAATGAGTGAGATATACAGTGTTGCTAACAGCTTTCTACAGGAGACAGAAGTCTCCAGGCTAACATATGCTTATTTAAAATATAAGAAAATGCAGTTAGGAAGGGAAAATTTTTAAAGGATCATCGCTTCATCGGGATTTCATATAGGTGCTCAGCAGTTCAGCTGGACCCCTGACATTTACAATTGGGGCACAAACACAGTGGGCTAGCCTTTGAGGAAAACCATGAACTTCTGGACCAAAAGTATGTATTCCTTAGTGCAAGGCAGAGGACAGGGAGCTCTGCTTCCCTCCAGAGTGCTCATTTCACCTGGAGGCAGAGATGGCAGAGGCCGCTGTTCTGGAGTTCCTGTCTCCATCTTGGCCATGTTTCTTAGGACAAGGACAGGCATTCAAATATTCATTAAATACCTTCATGCCATTGTGAAATCCTCTGTATACCATTGGCAGGGCACATGCCACAAGTGGGAAGCCCTACCCCATTGCACACAGGTAAAACCTTACAAAATAAGGGCCTTGTTACCCTTGTAAAATCATGGCTCAGGCCTGTTACTTCAGCTGAGTAGAAAAGGACTATGGGAAATGGCTATGACTCAGCTGACTTAGAGGTAGAAAAACAAATTATATAACCATTACATGTTCATATTGTGGTTAATGGTGGTTGGTTGGATTACATTTGTTGTGCTTAATTGGAATGTAACTGATAAAGGCCTAACTGCTTTAAAAGGCCAGGTTTTTGCAATAAACTCTCTCTTGCACCTGCCTGGGGACTCTGCATTGCTCTGCTTTGGAACACTACCCCAGGTTATATATTTATGGATGCCATATATTTTCCAGTTGTTTAGAAACTCCCTCCTGGTTCTTTAGGTACTGTGACTTTCCCAAAAAGTCTTTGTCCAGTTCATTCAATGGAGAAATCCCATCAGGAAGCCAAAAGGCTTTTGCTTAATCAAGGTATGATACTTTGAGCTGCATATGGACAGCCAATATATCTAAGAGTGAGCTTAAGGGAGGTTTAAAGGGAAGCCTCCACCTAATCCTGGTGCTTCATGCACCCAGGATAAGCCTCAGGCTCCTGTCTCTGCTGCAGAGTTCAGGATTTTGGATACAGCAAAAGCAATCCACCAAATGAGAGGAGGACATAAGATGACAGATCAGAGTGCCCTTTTGCTTTACAGTATGGCATGTCTCTTAAAGTGAGGTCTGGCCTCTGCTGAATCAGGGATGGGATTTGAGCCTCAATAATCTACAGATCATTTTCTAGGCCACAGAAGTAAACTAGAAACAGAAGCATGTCATGGAGTGGAATTGAACCAAACAGGTGAAAGTCTCAGTTTGACTGAACCATATTATCATTGAATCAGTGCTTGACCCAAGTTGACCCATACAGCCTTGACTGAATGGCTGAAACTCTGATGAGTTTGATGTAAACTGTGGGAGCAGGTGGAAATTATAACCTTACTGCAGAGATAAACAAAGAAGGAATTAATTACTGTAACTCATCCCTTCAGCAACTCACCAAATAGTGCCCTACCACAGAAAATTGACACAACCTGTGAAAAAGACACACTTCCTTTGCAGCATCATCCCAAGCAGTTCAGGTTAGACTCTAGAACAAACCCACTGGTTCAATCTTTGCAGAAGCACTGCCTCCAAGACCCCTGAGAACAGCTCTCAGGTGCACAGCAGCAGGGTTTGTCAAAAGCCAGAATGACTACATGGATACAATAAAAATCACTGCAAAAGGACAAGTTATGCCCCAAATTATTTCAGGCAATCAGCAACTCTAAAACCATTTTGCTGGTGGTGTAGACAGCTCCCAGGAATCTGTGGCAGTTGTCCAAGAATTTTAGATGCTAATTAGCATGGTTTTACAGTACAGTCTGTTCAGCAAATCTGAGTCTTAATAAAGTCCCAAAATGTGACTGCTAGTAGCATAAAGAGCCCGTGCCTGCAGCCCTTACATGCTCCTACAGACACTGACTTGAATTGGAGCCCTTAAGAAACCAGTGGCAGTTAAATGTGTAGGACTCAGCCCTAAGCAACATGAATGCTATCTCCTCAAGCTCTGTGCATACCTGCTCTTCAGCTGGTTCAAATGTCCAATTTCCCAGTACATTAGGAACATGTTTCTGCAAAGTCTGGCTGCTCACATTCCTACACCTGTTTCTGCTTTGGTCCTGCACTGCATTCACTTTCTAGAGATGTTAGGTTTTTCCATTATAAAATCAGGCCTCATAATTCAGTAGATCTAATTCAGTCAGATGCTTAATTAAAAAATTAAACATTTCACCACACTTCTAGTATTAGCTTTTAAAGGAACATGAGACCGAGGCTTTAAAAGGCATTTCTACAGGTTTAGAATGAGGTGAGATGTTCTTTCCACACTTTATGTCTAGCTCCAACAAAGCTGTTCTGCTGCTGTTACAGCACATAAACGAACTTGAAATGAAGAAGGCTTTAGGCCATCTACATTATCCAGAGATTTGGGATTCAACTAGTAACTAACTATTCTGCTTGCTCCCTAACTGAAGAGTAAATGCAGCAGACAGCAACAAAAAAAGGAAGCATTGTAACCATGTTTTTTTTCACCAGACAAACCTCCACTGAATGGCAGAGAAACCAAAGGCACAACCTACAAAACAAGGAAAATCCTGCACAGTCACTGCTGCTAGTGCAGAGAAGTCAGAAGGGGGTAGGGTGAATTAAACAGAGGATCTATATCCTGCCTTCTGAGGTTTCTTAAGTGAAACATTTTTTTTTCAGATGAATCACACTATCCTTTTATTTGGCATTTGATTTGCATTGCAAAGCATTTGGCTTCCTTCTAGTATTAGGGAAACTGGATAGCAGAGAAAAGATCATTGTCTATCTAAATCACTGTTCTGCTCAAGTGTTAGATCAGCATATTATTTTAAATGTTAGGCCCATCATTTTGGTTTAGCAGGTACAAAATGTCTACACCTACTCTTGACAGCACTGCAGTATTTTGCTTAATTTCTTAGTTCCCACAGCTTGCTACACCTACTCCTTGAACATCATCAGATTGTGCCAGTAGAAATGCATTCAATTCCTCTTCAGATTTATCCTAAATGGAAATCTATGAAGATTTGTACTGGACACGTGGGAAAGAATTGCAAAGGCTTTTTATAACTGACTACTTATTTAATTTTAAACTGAAGAGCAAACTGTTCCCATTGATTGCTACTGGCTTTGATTGCCATGGTGTGTGACCACTGTAGATTGGTGGAATAGGCAGAGACTGGAATTGAGGGTGTTTACCTGACCACTTACTGGAGCCTCAGTGACTCATTTCTTCATTTCAGCCTGCTGAGGTCAGTTGAAAGTCTTTCCATCTCTTAGCTGGGCAGAAAGGCAACATGTAGTCCTACAAAACAAAGCAAATATGCGTAACTACCTTATTTGTAATGCACTTCAGGTTCAGTTTTGATTGGATAAGGTGAAAATTAATCTGTCTGACAATGAGCTAAAGCTTAACACTATCATGGTGAAAGTTATGGTAAGAAAAAACTTTATTGGCTCTATCTTAGCTAACTGAGCAGTGTGAAATAGGTTCCTTCTCTAAGGTAGTCACGGACCCAGTTGTTGAAGATGTCATCCTATAACATGCAGGTGCCTAAGTCAGCTAGGATGTATCACCCTTATCTTCCTGCCATAATTAGACAGAGCAGCCAGAACAGCTTAGAATAAACTCTTGCTATTTCAGGTGTTCTCAGATTAATTTTATCCTGAGAGCTTGTTCATCTTCTGCTCAAGTTTTTTTTTAAATGTTCTGCAGCTCTCCTTCAACTGCTATGATGCTTCCCATGGCACCAGGATCACATCTCTGTATGATGCCATCAACTAAACATTGATACCAAGGTGCTTCAATTAACTATTTTGTTGATCATTGCATGTTCCTGTAGAATTTCTAAAAGAAACTGCAAAGGTTGACAACATACAAGGAATTATTTTTCCTTTTTCCAGAGGCCATAAACTGACTCCTCCCAGTATTTTTGATGTCAATCCTCTACTGAAATACCTTCAGATGAAATTAATGTAGCCTTTTTGAATCACCATGAATGTACTCAAAATACATTTTATAACAGAAATAGTAAGTTACATAAAATCCATCCCCATCTGAATTTGGAAAACAGTTCCTGAGATCAAACCTGAAAACAATCAAACTAAACATTGCATGACTTTAAACTGCAGTTTCATCATCCTCTACATCCTAAAGTTGCCCAAACCCAAGACAGTGAATGAGTGACTAACCAAGGTACACCAGTCACATGTATTCTGCTTGGGAGACCAGGGACATTG